CGAGGTCCCCTGTAGTCCGCGGTACCTGAGTGGATGTTGTTTACGCAGCCTTTCTGTGAAGGTAATGCATTCAGCTTTATCAACCCAATTTTTTTTTACATCGCGGCAGTGCTCTTATTTTTTTACTGCGGGTCATGCATTTCTAAGTCACGGGCACATATTCGCTGACGTTTTTGTCGGTGCCAAACCCAATTCCTTAAAGGAATCAAGTTCATCTCGACTAAAATATATATGTGCCCCCCCCCCAAAAAAAAAACCCCTAATCTAGTAAATATATTATTGTTCAGCATTTCGGAGATATAACAGTGGTAAAATTTGTGATTTTTAATATATTAAAATGTCGTCTTCGATGTAGGAGATATCAATTATTGCTTTGTTTTCAAATTAAAAGTATTTAAAAAAAATATCTTTTTTTCATTTGAACTGTTAACAACTAATTGTGACAATTCAGCACAATGCATAATTCAATTTATCACAAATAATGAAACCAATTAATCAATTGGATTTGGTAATTTTGACAGATTGTTCGGATATCGATCCACTTTTAGTTAGCACTCTTTCAATTCTGTATGAATCCACTGAAATGACATCACAGACTTCGGTCGTTATGCATTGGTTACTAATCTTTTTATGCATTTTGTACTAGTCTTTTCTCGAAATGTACATTTGTGCAAGTTTTGCTGCCTTTCATTTTGTGACATTGTGTGCAGCAACCAGGCGTGACATTTCTGCTTGATCATTATTGAGATACCTTAGGACTTCAGCCTATAGGTAAGTAGTCAGCAAAAGGCGCCTATAGGCTGCAGGATGTATCATAGCCCAAGGTGGTTGAACTTTGCAGCGCCATTGGTCCGAGGAGTCCCGGACCCGTCAAAGCAATAGTCATATCAGGAAAAGCTCGGACCTAGACAGGCAGATAGGTTCCTATGGAATGACAGGTGAATGTAATTGAAAAAACCATCCACGCGGCAGGGGCGTAGCACCGTCATTTTTATTGGGGGGGGGGGGTAATTTTGTTTGAAAAGGGCACTTGCACATCCGTTGTGAAATGTAGACAGGTTTTTTCTCCGGACACTTGGCCTCCGTAAAATCAAAAAGCGAGGGGGGGGGGACACAAACAATCTGTCGATTGGGGCGCTGTTCAAAACCGACAATTATGCACCCAAAGGGCCAATATATGGTGCTTTTCTGGGCGATACATGTGCGAAATTCTGAAAAAGGCACCCAAAACGGCAGATGCCACAAAAAAGGGCACCACTTCTTTTTTTGAAAAAGGCACTTGTGTAGAAAAAAAAGGGCACTCTTTACAAATTATTGGGGGGGGGGGGATAAGCCCGTTGAAAAAAAAAGGGCATTTGAATGGAAAAAGGCAGTCTTTACAAAATATTGGGGGGTAAATACCCCCCTTACCCCCCCCCCCCCCCCCCCCTGCTGGCTACGCCTATGCGCGGCAAAGACCAGACCTGGGCTTCCGTAATCTGTGTTGTCTTCGAAGGGAGAACAAAAGAGAAATTCGTGGAGAATTCCAGAGTGCGATTGTTTCTTGTTACCATGGGTGTCGCGAGGGGGGGGGGGCAAGGGGGGCACTTGCCTCCCCCCCCCCCTGAAAAACGAAAAAAAAGAAGGAAAAAAAGAGGGGAAAAAAGAAAAGAAAAAGAGGTGCGAAGCCATTGCTGTTAATTTGATGGGGGGGGGGGGGTAGGGCAAATGCTCCCCTGCTCACGCTCGGAAAAATGATAAATTGTGAATATAATGAAAAAGTTAAGGAATTTCGGGGGAAAATTTGCTTTGCCCCCCCCCCCCCGAAAAAAAAACCTGGCTTTGCCCCCCCCCCCCCCCCCCCCCGGAAAAAAATCCTGGCGACGCCCATGCTTGTTACCCGTTCTTTATCAGCATTTCAATTTCAATATTGGTAGTAAGAAGACCACAATTACATGCCATCATGAAATTGCACTATGCTTGCACACACGTCGCACGCGCTCTGACGTTTGAGGCCCGCTTGCTTGGGTTTTTTTTGGCAAGTCTTAACGGCGTGGGATCGTTTTCATTCATCCCAAAAGAAACCCACCGAATTAATATCAAATGGCTTACTTGAAATAAAGATCGTACTGGTACTAAAAAACCCGTGAAATTAGTCCGTCTGGCTTGCTGTCATTTGGAAGAATCCGGAAGTATATGTGAATTCCAACGATCAGTGAGTTGACTGATTTTTGAAAAAAAGAGTGCCATAGACGAAATCGTGTTTCGTGATCAAAAGGTTGCGTATGGCTTTGCACTGTTTTCTCGAAAAGTTTACTATAATTACTGAGCTGAAACTTCAACAGGTTAGGTATTGGACACTCTTCTTTGGATTTTGAGTGGTGTTATTATTGGAAACAAACTAAATGCATGAAAAACTAATGATCCTATATGCCTCTAATAAACGGGAACGCACTCGGTGAGCTTCCTCGGAGACAACTATGGTAGCTGCATCAAATCAATTTATAAATTTTGCTTCAGCACGTGACTCCTCTCGTGAAATGGAAAGCAAAAATATTAGCGATGTTCAGGAGTTCTCCCGGGATTAAAAAACCTCAACTGGTAGGATATTTTTCACTTCCGAGGGCAACACACCGTGCACTGATCAATACTGATTGCTGTTGCCTCCTCTGTGAATGACTAGCGCGAGGCAGTGGGGAGCTTCCGGGATATAGCTTGCCTCGAGTTATCACATCATGTACGGGGAGATGTCAAGGAAGATCATTCCGCGCCGATGACTGGCAGGGATGCATGATAGCCAGATTACTCCAGGCTGTACTTTTGGGCAAGTTCACTGGGAATGCTGTGAAAGATGTGATCATTTTTTGTATTTATATTCCAAAGGCGTTTGGAGAAAATTTGCTTTAAAGCGTAAAATGTAAAAAAAAAAAAACCCATGCATGTAACTAAGAGGTCGTTTGAAGTTCGTAGACATTTCAGTCACTGCCCTGTTCTCGGGGATGTAGTCGGATCCTTCTCAAGTCCCTGTAAGTCCATCACAAGTCCATCACAAGTCCTCCAGTCCCTATTCAACTCACAAGCTATTCAAATGAGCTTTGACCAAGGCATTCCTTTGCTATTGTTCATCCACTGGACTGGACTTGTGATTCACTTGTGACTGGACTTGTGATGTCCTCAACTACATCCCTGCTTCTCATCAGTGAGAGGACCGTCTGGTGTGGTGAGAGAGATGAAGGATCATCGGTGGCTTAGAGTTCTGGATGATTTCACCGTCCTTAATCGTGTACGGATGATTTCTATACAGATAATAAAAGTGTCATTTTGAACCGGGAAAGCATCGGGTCAAAATATGACCCATATTCCGGGTCATAACTGACCTGGGTCTTTATATAAGGGGTTATCCGAAACCATTGTTTCGTCTTCGGCTTCAGCTGTGTCTCCAAGTTCTGAATCACTGAGAGGCAACCAAATGGAAATATTTGAACCTTTGTCTCCAAGTCAACCGATTGAGTCTTCCTGAAGCATAACGGGCACCAAAAATGCAGCTGGCGGTCCCAAAGCCGGGGGCCGTAAAATCTCCTTAAGCCGAAAACGAAGACGAAGCCAGGGTCTCGACAAGCCCCTAGACCTGTGCGTTGTTCGCTACTGATGACCATGGGCGTCGCCATGATTTGTTTCGGGGGGGGGGGAAGCACATTTTCCCCGAAAATACTGGTACTTTCTCTAGCATATTCTCAAATTATCATTTTTTTTTTTAGGGTGGGCGGGGGGACATCATACCCACCCACCCCCATTACACCCACACAGACGCCCATTTCTGTCAAATGTGTATTCAATTAATTAATAGCAAATAAGTCCTTTCTCTTCTTTTTTGTTTTTGTTTTCCTCGTACTGTTTTGCCTTTTCCGGGGTGGGGGTGGGGGTAAGCGCCCCCTTGCCCTATCCTAGCGACGCCCATGCTGATGACTGCGTCGCGCTGGTGACAATGTCATGAAGTTTTGCAGTGTGGAACCTTCATTCAAATGGATGCAAACCAAATTGGGCTCCTTTCATTGTTAACAATCTTTTTCAAACTATTGTACGCTACTAATGTTTATGTTACACGGGGCAAACAATTGATGTGGCTATACAATGCACTTGTATAAAACGCAACTTTTCAACTATAGAGAAGCTACGCACAAAAGAAGGTTTCCATTTACACTATGATAAAGTGTACTTCTAGTAGCGCTGCCAAGTTGAGTAAAAATATGGGTGGAATATTTGTTGTCCAAATTCTTGGTATTTTGTTATCAAAATGAAACCCGGACGCAAACGGACGTTTACATGGCAGAAACGGGGAACAAATTATCACTGGAAAAAATACATTTCTTATGACTGTTTCTAGTGAGCGCATATATTTGGCAAGTCTTAACCAGTTCGCATCGGAGGACGTGATAACACGCACTGGCTGTTTTATACACAGGCGCGGCTGACGGGTTAAAACGTCAAGATCGCCTCGACTCGCCTCCGGGTGACGTCTAAACACGCTGATCCCTCATGCCTTTTGTACACACACGCAAAGTCCGTGAAGTCTGTGGAGGCGGACTGTGTTGATCTTGAATTGACCGTTGTGCACGGCCTTTTGTTCTACAATTGACAATCCAGTGCACACCATGGAGTATTGAAAAAAATTGCGATTTCGGCAAGAAATTGTTATCGTACAAATACTGTTTAAATGACTCTTGGGAATCAGTATTTGTGACGTTTGGCTGGAAAATTTTGCCTTTTGCGAAAATCGAAGTTTTCGGCAAAAAAAATCCCGGCAAGAGGTGGTGTTAAGCAGCTTTTTTCCAGTTTAGCAGCTCCGTGAAAATTGGGCCAAGATAAAAATTCCAGATATTTTCCCAAACATTCAGTTTTTGATCAGACTAGTCAGTGCGCACTGGGTTTGTTCGTTCTTCAGTTTTATACAAGACATGAACTAACACTGAGTGTTGTCTGACGTTTCTTATAATAAACGTACATGCATATCCAAACTTTTGTCTTGATTCCGTTCGACACTTTATTCAGGCTGCGACAACTCGCCAAGGAATTTTAGATTCAGGAAATTCTAACAACCCTCTGTCGAAGTGTTGAAAGGAAACACTATCACACAAATTCAGTAAAAGTCACATAGATCATTATAAATCAAGTGCAAATATTGAAAAAATAATTCTGACTTTTTTCTTTGCTCTGAACTATTTGGTGTAGATCCTAGACTTCGCAAATCATAGTATCATTGTGCAGTAGTGTTGACGTCACATGCACCATGCACACTGTGTTAATTGAATAAGTGTGTCAAGTCAGTTATCTAAGTTGCAGGCGCGGTAGTAAGGTTAACCATACAAATTAACCCCTTGGCTAAATTTTAGTTTGCATTGGAACATGGTTTCAAGGAAAGTTTTGAAACCTGGAGGAATTCCTTGGGATAAAACTACCGGAAATTGGTTTTGAACTTCAGGTAAATGTGGAAACTGTGGATAAATACGTTGTTTTTTTTTTCAAATAAAGATTATTGACATTTGCGAAATTTGGGGAATGTAGGATGCTAATGTTACATAAAAATCGCACATGAAGAACCACGCCTGCAATGATTGCACTGGGTAGGAGGTCATCATCTAAGGGTCAAAGGTCAGCGTGCCATGACGAAATCTATTTAGTTTCCAAGAAGGCAAGTTTATAGTGCATTCTTCTACCAGAGAAGTTCAGGCGGTTCAGAAAATAACAACAATTAAGGAAACAATCTTGAATTTTTTAAAACTTAATTTTGCAATTCACAACATTGATCTGCCATTATTTACAAGCAAGTATTTTTCGTAAGCGCCGTAGTGCAACAAGCAATACGATTTAAATATCTCAAACTATATTTTTTTATATATATTTTTCTATATTTACTCGGTGATAACTGTTGTTTTCCAGCTGTTATTAAGAGAAACATATAGGCAGAAAGACACTTAAAGATGTTACTTATTTACACCCAAGAAAGACAATTGTCATAAATTATATTTTAATCCTTACTATTAGCCCTGCTTTCATCCCATCCACAGATTTCAAGGGTTGGTTCATATCTCAAAATGGTTCTTGGTCGACGATTGCTGTGATTCATAAAATCACTGGTCACTTATTTTTAAAAATACCATCTTTCACCGTCCGCACTCTATGCTTATTCATACCAACAAATTAATGATGTAATTTTTTACGAAATTCTATCTTTCTAATAGCAAATTTAACTCAAGCTAGTAGAACTTTTGCCTTCAAGGTTTGCAATTTAACCAAAATCAAGATTCAATTATGCATCACTCGTTCGAAATACTGCTACACAGTGAGGTTAAACTGTTTTCACGACCAAATTTTCCAAACAGTCCTGTTAAACGTTGGAACCACTGTTTGAGAGGCATGGTTGTCAGAAAAATAATTTACAAGATGATTATCGGTCGTTCACTAGCACGTCGGGATATCCTAGCCAGATCTACATCCAGAACCGGTACATCTAATACCTGCCACCTCTACTCCCTCGTGCACGATTCCCAGAACGGTACATGTTGGCTCTCTTCTCCTCTTCGTTGGCCTCGGGCACCTCGTCAGCTTCCTCCTCGGGATCAGACTTGGTAACTCGCATCATCCTGTTCCTCTGGCGGTTTCCTACGGTACGGAATCGGTTGCCTCTCTTTTCTTCATCATTCGCCTCAAGAACTTCCTGGACTTCTTCTTCGGGATCAGACTTGGTCACCCGCATCATCCTATTTCTTGGGCGGTTTCCTACGGTGCGGAACCTGTTGGCCCTCTTCTCTTCCTCGTTTGGCTCCAGAAATTCTTGGACTTCTTCTTCGGGATCAGACTTGGTCACCCGCATCATCCTATTTCTTTGGCGGTTTCCTACGGTGCGGTACCTGTTGGCCCTCTTCTCTTCCTCGTTTGCCTCCAGAACTTCTTGCACATCTTCTTCGGGATCAGACTTGGTAACTCGCATCAGCCTGTTCCTGGTACGACCTCCGACGGAGCGGAACCGGTTGGCTCTCTTCTCCTCTTCGTTTGCATCCAGAGCATCCTCGACTTCCCCCTCGGGGTCGGCCTTAGTGACCCTCATCATCCTGTTCCTGGTACGACCTCCGACGGAACGGTACCGGTTGGCCCTCTTCTCCTCTTCATTTGCCTCTTCTTCTTCTTGCATTGCTGGGTCGGACTTGATCACCCTCCTGTTCCCCGGTCTCCTACCCAGGGTCTTGAAGCGATTGACCCGTTTGTCCTCGTCGGGTTCGTCGGCGTAGATCCCCTTCAGGACCTGTTGGACGTCTTCCTCGTCTGCGGTGTTCTCGTCGTCAGCACGACATTGGAGCACCGTCACGGCCAAAAGGACCGACACCAAGAGTAGCATCAACTCCAAACGCGCCATTGAAGCTGTACCCTGCAGTTCAAGAAAGGAGAGAGAGAGAAAACAGTCCTTAAATATTTATTCGCTGATGATCCTTGTTTAAAAAAAGACACTGTAATATCCTGTGGTTCAGGATCACGAAGACAGGTGCGATGATGACAACGAGAATGAGTTTCTTCTGGGTGTTGCCGGGTCATGTGTGTCCCAAGGCAAGATATTTTGCCATATTTCCTGCTCCATACTCAATAGTCTACAGGGGGTACGACATAGTGTGAGATTTGAGCTGGTTATTAGCAAATGCAGCAGCTTCTGATGAGGCTATTAAAAGCATGGTTGTGTATGCTCCCTCGGGAGTTAAGATAGATCCATCAGTTGATAAGCCCGTTGATCAGGGGTAATAGCATCAGCCGAAATACTATAATTCTGTGGCATAATCTATTCATAAATCCTTCACTACAAAATATTAAACCGATCTACAACTACACTGTCTCTTTTAAAGTCGGATTTTGTGCCGATTTCAAAACGAGATTTCTTGTTCTCAGATTCTTGAGACCTTTCCTTGAGCCGTGGTAAGATTATGGTTGTTCAGCAGTTCGATGTGTTCAACTGCAGACAGACAGGTGGGGGTTTCCCTACAGTTGTATTGTTTTCATAGCAGCTTTGTGCATGCAGCTGAATGGGATCAGCTTTTGACCGAGCGTAAAGACAACCAGCTAAACAGATTCCAAGTTGGGTTTGAATTCGAACAAGGGCAGGCCGAACGGAGTAACCAAAGCCGTTGTAGCATGAATTTAGGTTTTATGAAATACGGACTCATTGGTGGTATTGCGCATGCTTATGCATAGATAATTAGGAGAGGGACCGGTCACGTGAGAGGGTTAACCAATAAAAGGGAAAAAGAGTCCGATTTTCATACGAGTCCGATTTTCATATGACACCGTCACTGATTGCTATCCTTAACAAGAATTGGATTTAGCAATAAATTTCCCCCAAGCACCTAATATAACACAGTTCCAAAGATGCGGTAAAGAAACGGCTTGTGAATATATTGCGTGCTCCGGACACTCACTGAGAAGGGTCATGACCCCTGCCTCCAACAACTCCAATTTAATTTACTCGCAATAAAATGTTTTCTGACGGTTCATTTTGTTGATTGAGAGCTGCAATTTCTTTGCAATTGTCCGAGCCTTGCGCATTGTGGTATTTGATCAATCATCCTATAGATGAAGGACAAAGCAGGGAGACTTGGGCAACACTTACAAAAGGTTTATTTATTGTCAAAGAGGATCGTCCATAAATTAAGCTTTCTTCTAAAGCCTTGCATTATGACACTCCTTCGTGCAAAGACGCGCATTATTAAGTTTCACACGGCTTAATTCAGTTATAGCGTTGTCTCTTTGTCAGCCAGCGTTTCTTGCTAGGCTTTGTATTTAACTAAAGGGAATATAGATTGATGCAAAAATACATGGAACAACAAAACAACATTATTAGATTTGTAGATTGCTGTTCACTGTTGTCTGTGAGATGAAGTCTTTGCACTTGAACATCTTTAAGGAGTTTGTGATCATCAAGTTCTTGTGGTTATAGTTTCATTTCGTTTTTCACCATTCAAAAAACCAGAAAGCTGAAAACACCAACAAAACGTTGGAAATTCAAATTCCACCAAAATGTTCAGAGTTTCTTTACTTTTTCTTACTTCTTTTCAATTGATCTTCATTATACAGACCAGATAATGGAAATCAATGTGCTTTTCTCACTCCTCCTTCAGTGCGCATGCGTGCATAATGGCGAACTAGTCTATCCGGTTTGTAAGTGTGACGTCACTTCAGTTCAAACCACGCCCACGGCACAGTAAGTAGCATTGGAACCATTTGGACCGGAAGTAGTGCAAAGGTGCGTGTTTAGCCAATGGGCGCTAGTAATCAGTGGTGCGTGCGCGTGAACACCACGTCACTACTTACGAATAGCTCTATGCTTACGAACCGGACTCACGCGCTCAGCTCAGGTGCGTTTTTCTGCGAGGATGCTACGGGTTTCTGCGCAATCAGATGAAAGTTAGTCGTGCGTACTCAAGATGAAATACCTTACATTCTCGTGCACGGTCCAAGCGAAGTGATGATATTTGTCACAGTAGTTATTCAACGTTTCAAAGTTTGGTGTTTTTTTTCGAACTAAGAATTATAATATACTAGCGCTAGCTAGGTGGAGTCGTTAAGCCCCCAAGTTGATGCATTTTGAGAAGGGGGTTCATTATACGTCCAGGCTTCGTACTCATATATCGTACGAATTCGTACTTCGGTTAAAGGTTATATATTAATGCATTACTTTGACCTCCATTTGCATGTTGACCCGAAGTGGGCGTGGTAAACCTGGACGAATCATTTGCCACATTTTTCACCATCAACGTTATGTTTTGCGTAATAGCGATACGTTTTGGAGTGTTTTCATAGAGATAATGTTGTAATATTTCACCATTCAAAGCGTCAAAAAAAAAAAAAAATGCCAAAAAACAAAACAAAACAAATATATCATTTTTTTTCACGTGCCAACCGTGACTTCAAAGGACCGTGAAATCGTAGCACAGGGCACTTACACACAGGGTGACCGTTTTAGCCGATTTTCGGCTAACATAATTTTTGTTAAAAAACGAGTTTGACAGAAAATTTGACAGAATGGATTTTTTTTGGCAGATATCTGGCAGAATTCTGCAAAAATGGTTGTTCGACAACACAAACAGCAAATTTGAACAAAAAAGTGTACATTTGTTTAAAAAACTTCAATCCTTTTCAAACAAACCCTTGCATAATGGGACAGGTTGGCTGGTCTAGGTGCTGAGGTTCACTGGAAAACGGACTTCATCGTGGCCAGATCCGCGTTTTGCCCGAAATTTACCAGTAATTTCACAACATCTTTATGTGACTAGATTGTTTATTATGTAATTTGAATCTTAATTAAGGCAATACTACTAATCTGCATGTGATTTTAAGTGTTTATAATGTATTTCGAGTAATTCTGGAAAATTTGGCAGATTTTTGATAAATCTGACAGATTTTTGATGTGCATTTAGCAGAATTTGGCTCTGACCTTACGGTCACCCTGCTCACACACAGAATACCTCTCCATTAACTCTTGCATCTTGCGCCTCCGCAGATGCACTCCTAAGGCCTTTTACAAAAAAAACCGTGACACACAGACAATTAGCGTAGGGTCTTTTAATACAGGAGGCTGATTTGCACTTGCATTCTACACAATTCGTAAAAAAGAAAGATTTTTTTCAGGGGAAAGTAACAGCTTCACTTAACGATGCCACTACGAGAAAGCATAACCCTTCTTCTATTTGTCTTCCTTAATTATGGCTGGAGATGTTCCTCATCTCATTGGCGTTTAAGTGCAGGAAATTGCATGGCAATCAAATATATCATCGGAGCCAACATCGCACCGGGCAGTTAGGAGTGTTGGAAGGGAGCAATAACTGCATGGGATTTGATGGGAGCTCTTAAAAGTCGTCGTTTCGACTAAGAGGAGTTGAGATTAAGGAACACATTTTAACACCGAGGAGACTTAAAGTCATTACATGGCTTTTCTTCAAATGCTGTAAATTTGGAGGGGTGTGGTTTTGTTTCTGGGTGGCGCTATGTTGGACTTCAACCGCAATTGTTTTGATTTTTCATTTTTCTAATAGCGCATTCCACTCTGTGGAACCCTTCGCGCGATATATACAAGAATATATACACACGGCAATTTAATTGCGGGAATTCTTCAAATTTGCTTCATTTGAAATGAAGTGGGCATCTCTGAAGCCTCTCCGACTGATTGAATTATTTTTTTATTTAAACAGCGCGCGCTAACGTTAACCAGCCCCGACAGTGGCCGGAAAATTAATAAGCGACTTCCATTTTACCTAATATACAAATACGATATCTGCTTGTGATACGCCAATGCAGTTTCCATAGGAGTGTTCAAGACACATTGGATCATTTGCTTTTCATGCGTTTTGTTCGTATCCAATAATAACGAGTCAAAATCCAACGAAGAATATTCAAAACCTAACTTGTAAGTCTCAGCTCAGTGAGTATCACACTTTTTGAGAAAACTGTGAACAAATCATGCACAACCTTTAAATTACAAAAGACAATTTCGTTCATAGCACTCCTTATGCCAAAAATCAGTCATTTTATTGATCGTTGGAAATCATCTACTCTTCTTGATTTCTTGTAAATGACAGCAAGCCAGACGGAATAATTTCACGGGGTGTTTAGTACCAGTACGATTTTTAATCCAAGTAGGCTTTTTGATGATAATAATTCTGGAGGTCACTTTTGGGGTATTAAATGCAAATGATCCTCTATGGTTTTGCGCAGTAAGATCACGTTTGTGAGTCTACGCTCCCAAATCGCTCTGAATTTCAAGTATTAAAGGATCGTGACCGTTCTAGTAGTAGTACACTCCTGCGTCTAACATTCCCTGGCATATACATCCAGTGCCCTTGATAACTAGGTCAAGGAAATCGCCATGGAGATTATTCACGAACCCTCCAACCCGAGTCCTCCCACTGGGGGAATTGACGAGACGAAGGCAGCTGGAGAATCGAACAGGGTCATGACAGAGAGCACGACAGCAACTTAGTGACCACTGGAGTATTCGATTGTCCGTATAGACCATGTTACCTCTGACGTCATACCAACGGACAAACTTCACTGGGCAACCAAAACATTTGAGCATCATTTGAATGTTATCTTGCCCACATTAAACAGTTTATGTTACCACTTTCACACCAATATCGTTTCCAGTGACACACATGCAGTGTAGAAGGGAACAGTCTGCTGCAAGTTGGCATCCGATGACCACAACATCAAATTTGTAAATGAAAAGTAATGTGTTCTAGCTATAGTCAAAATGAAGTCCCGCAAATCTGGTATGCAATATCATGCACGTCAAGTGGATTCTGAACTGGTCAAACGGTGTTTTGTTAGACTGCGGCGAGGCAACCTGTCTTGACTGTTCAAGGGCGGATCCAAGAAGTGTTTGGGGTGGCTACCACCCACTGATTGAGCAATGTTAATTATTTATACAACGGGGGAAAAATCCCCAAAATTCTTTAAGAGCCCTGAATAACGTCATTTCTCAATATCGCGTGTCTTGATTCATTGCATGCTGATCATCAGCCTTTGGGCTTTTTATGCGTTGACCGCAATGCCCCATCCGCCCTTATTTAAATCTTGGACTTCAACTCCCAGCCAACCCTACCCTTTTAAAAATCTTGTGTCCGCCATTGCTGTTCTTTCAAAGGAACCGGTCGTTAAGTTTTGAAGGGAGTTTTGTTCTGACCCGTTTTCACTGTGAAAGACTCGATGGACGTAAAATCATCATAACTGCAGTCGTATTTTGTAACAAACAATTAGGCAGATCAGTTTATAGTAATAGAATATGACATCATCAGAAAAAAAGTGACATGCTCGCAAACATTTGGGCAACAAACTGGAATAATTAGCTCAGTGGGTGACAGAGAAAAGTTGCTTCGACGCACTAAGCTAACCGTACCAGTGGCGGATCGGTGGGGGATGGTTACAACCACACCCCCATGTTCTGTCGCTAACTAATGTTATGATACTAGTAAAATGGGGCCAAAATGAAAATGGAATGCTAACGTTCCTAAAACATTTCTCAAATTAACTTAAATTGCAGGAGCGTTAATTTCACAATTGTCCAGGGGCACGCCTTCACTCAACCTCCACCCTTCGTATCCTATAACACCCCCCCCCCCCGTTTCCTGAAATCTAGATCCGCCCCTGCTGTAGGGCATCGGTTTCCTATAAAAACACTGGGAATTATTCACCGCAAGTACGACACCGCGTGATCAATCCATTTAATTTTGGCATGTGGCAGATATCTCCGCGAGGGTCTTAAGGTGTGCTGAGACGGTGACGTCAAAGAAAAAGGTGACGAAATCAACACCGTTTACCCTGGCAGCAATCACTAAAAGTACTCGGACGACATGGGAGGTGGATCGATGCCCCGCCTATCGATCGCTAACCCTCCCGCGGCTATATGTATTTTAAGTCCGGCATTTATCTCGGTGACGTTATAAACGTCGCTCCAGGCGCTTCAGGGTACAACCTTCGTGCCTTCACGAAACCAGAAACCAATAGGAATGCCAATCACAAGAGGCCAGGGGCATTTTTAAGATGTAAGGAGTTGTTTAGCCTGAGAGAACAATGTCCTTGGGTTTGGGCGATCGACCTTTTCAAAGGAACACCCAAGGGAGTTTTTTTATCAATCAATTACATTCGCCTTCACAAACGGGCGACAAACTGAGGTGTGCATGATGCCCTAAACAAACGCGTGCTTCTATTGACACGTCGTGAAACGGCTCTTTTACATTAAAGTGTCGTAGTTACAGCTACCGAACCGTCCCTAGAAACATCGTGTTGGTTGTCAAGGTGTCTTTCACACACTATGAGCGCAAGTGAAATTCTGTCACTTCTACAATACAAAAACTTCCCCAGAAACCACTGTTATAACTCAACAAACTTTGTAAGTATCAGTGACGAATATTCAGAACGCTACCTGCGTTATATATTTTGTGTACGTTTTATACAGGCCATACAGTGTCGCACGTAGCGTGCACTGTGCAGAAAACTTATTGGGGTTTTTTTGTCCCAACATTTGAAATAATCAATTCTTCAACCGCAGTATGCTTTTGAATTAAATTCTGCAGACAGACACAGTTGAATCTTTACATCTAATAACAGCGGTTCACTGCGAACAGGATTACATTACGACTTGTCATGAGGAAGAAAGTGTACCTAAAGCGCCCTCCAGCGTCGGTAAACGCATGAACCCTGCGTAACCTATATCACAAGTTTTCGTGAATGTCTCGACTCAAAACCATACAATGTTCCCCTCAACCTCATATTTCATATGCCTAAATGCAAGAATATCAATCACTGCCCGACTCGTAATTAGACAGAATCGACGGGGCAGAATCCGACCAAGAAAGATGGATCGGATTCCATTTCCAGCCGGCGCACTTCGCGACCTTGCCGACGCGATGAAACGATCGATGACTTTTTCTGGGGGGAGTCAGCGGCGCGAGACCCAGTCCCGAGTACCGTGGAGAGGCGTCCTCTCTAGGCGTCACTGAGCCGGTAAATCATCGCTTCGCGAGTGTTTCGCGCGTGGCCCGGAAAAAAAGACCCCTGCGTTTAATAATTGCGTGAGGAAGGCTCACGATTAGTCGGTAGACGAAGTATTGTAATGTGGTCCGTGGAATAATGTTGGCCCCAACCTGATCTGTTCTAGTACTCTCATCGTCAAATATCTCGGTTCTGTTTCCCGGTTAGGCTAAAAACACCGTAGAGAATCACACAATTACATGAAATGCCTTTATAGAAGAACTCGTACAATCGTCTCATACAGTGGTTTCTGTGTAAGTGTCTTTTTTTATCGGGGGTCTTACACTCTAAAAAAGAAGTGTAAATTTATGTTGTGTAAAACTGTTGTGTAAAAAAAGTGTGTCATTTCTGCCCAATATTGAGCAAAATGAAAATTTCGCTTGTACCTCCTACTTGTGTCAAATGTGTTACACATGAAAAGGGTAAAATAGTACCCAACATTGACTACAAGTCCCAGCAGCACAGGCAAAAAGTTCAAATCATTGTATTATTACCCAAGTGATGGGTTAAAGAAACTGGATTTACCCAACCACTGTGTAACAATTCTCTCATTGCACACGTCGAAGAGTAGAATTTACCACGACATTAGTAAAATGTTACCACTGTGTGGGGTAAACTGACGCACGTGACAAGTTTACCCAATAATGTGCACGCGTCATCACTCAAGATGGCCACCGATTGTGAGACCTTCAACAATTTGGTGATTTTGAAGACGTGATTTCTTTGTTCCAGGTAAGTCAGTGAAATGAGTTTCAGTGTTGTTTCCTCCAAATGGGATGCTGATGTATGAGGATTAATATCGGGGAGATTGGAGAAGTGACATGCTTATTATTTAGACATTTATTTGCAACTTGGACGTCACGGCTCTGCCAACCACGATTCCATGAACATGATGCATGCGTTTCATGTACCGTATATTGAGTGTTCTCAGATCTAGAAACACGGAGTAAAGTGACCGACATTTGGGGAATTGTTTTTGAATGAGTTGATTGAGGGAAATTCTAACACCCCTGCCCATCATTTAGCCCATGCTCCTCGTAATAGTCCTCATGCATCAGCACCATATTTGGGGAAATATCACCTTATTCATTTTACTGACTTTCCAACCCAGGACTCAGTTATTGAAATCCCTCGCGATTGCTGTCTCTAGCATGCAATTCACATTGCAGAGTTCAAAGTTGAATAAAACCGCAAGGATCAATAACAAAGGTACACAACAACTAATGTAAAAACAACCCAAGTGATGGGTAAATGAAGAACCCAACAGTGCAGGGTAAAAATTAGAACCTAATATCTGGGTAAAAAACTGACACAACACTTGGGTAAAAGGAGGGTTGGGTAAAGTTTACCCAATAATTGAGTAAAAAGGGAACATGGTCGTCACATGGGTAAACTTTCTTACCCAACTTTGTTGTGCAAACACGTAACACAATTATGGGTAAAAGTTACACTGAAATGGTACTTTTCTACACTTTAGCTGTTGTGTAAAAAAAAGTACACAAGTTGACGACCATGTTCCCTTTTTACTCTCGAAAAGGTAGTAATTTTACCCAATATTGAGCAACTATTTTTTAGAGTGTAGTGCCATCGTCAGATAAAAAAAATGAAAAATATTCTTGCGACAAAGTCTAAACATTGGTATCAAAATTTCAAAACTGAAAAGGCATTGAGACACTTAAGTGCACTTATTGCTTTCTCTTTAATCAGTTCGCGTCGGAGGACGTGATAACACGGACTGGATGTTGTATACACAGGCACGGCTGATGGGTTAAGACGTCAAGATTGCCTCGCCTCGTCTCCGGGTGACGTCTAAACCCGCTAATCCCTCGTGTCTTTTGTACACACGCACACACACAAAGTCCGTGAAGTCTTTGGAGGCGGACCGTGTGTTGATCTTGAATTGGCCGTTGTGCACGGCATAAATATTGTTGTACACAGTGGCGCACCCGGGGGGGGGGCGCTCGGGGGCTTGAGTGCCCCCAAGAGGTTGTCTCCTTTTTTTCTTTGGTAATTTGTCTGTAGTCCTACGATTTAACCGTGGTGATATGTATGTGGCCTATTTTCGAGTAGTATAATAGGGTGTAAATGGCGCCACCAAGGTCAAAATAGTTCCCCCCCCCCCGAAAAAATATTTTTCAGCGGCCAAAAATTTTAGGCAAAATTTCTTGAAAAAATTTAAACTTCTAAAAATAATTGAAAAAAATTAAATTGTGAGCATCCCCCAGCCAAATCCTGGGTGCGCCACTAGTTGTACAATTTACGCTCCAGCGCACACCCCGGAGTATTAAAACATATGAGGTTTCAGCAAAAAATATCGTACAAGTACTGTTGAAATGACTCTTGCGAATCAGTATTTGTGGTGTTTGGCTGTATATCAGAAGTTGGCTGGGAATTTTGGCCACTTGCGAAAATCGAAATCTTCGGCAAAATTATCCCGGCGCGAAGTGGTTTGAATGTGACGCTACAAACTGCGTCACTGCTCAACGTAGGTCGTTTGCGACATGCATTGCGTTCGTGCAAAGACCTTTGATCCCAGAAATATCGAGACACCGCCGACCGTACTTCCCTTTTCCATTTGTGGCGGAAGGATTTTCAAGTGAATCGTTATCAATCACTGTTTCCGACTCCCCCATCACTTGAAATGACAGTTAACATCACTTTATTCTAATCGGGTTTACCTCCTCCGCGGAGACTTTCCACTTTCTGACGGTAGGCCCACTTGCTAGTTTCCCAGGATCGTGCCGCAGATCACTGAACTCGACTCCCGGACTCATCAGCGAAAAGCTTTTATCTCATAATGCTGTAATTTGCAATCGGTATTCCGTCAAATATTTTTCCTGTCGGGTTTTATGAGTCAGTACGGGATTAGACAGTTGGACAGTGTTCAGTGTTTTGGGGTATAGAAACTGGTTTTTGGTTAGTTTTTAATCGTAGTTTTGTTATTGTAGATAAGGTCCCTTTCCATGTAAAATCAACTTTTGTGTGGTTACATACTGACCGTGAGAAAACATAATACTCCAGAACTGGGCCCAATTTCATAGAGCTGCTTAAGCAGAAAATTTGCTTAAGCACGAACAAAACATTGCTTAGTAAAATTAGGTTACCGGCCAAAACTCCATGTGATGTACATTGCTTGTGACTGTATTTAGCTGTTGTTTACTTAGCATAACAATCGCATGGAGTTTTGGCCGGTAACCTGATTTTATTAAGCAAGACGTTTTTGTGCTTAAGCAAATTTTGTGCTTCAGCAGCTCTATGAAATTGGCCCCCGTTCTTGCCTAGCTACAACTGTCAATAATCCACAGGCCACAGTCGCCGATGCAAATGTTGAAATGTAATTTCAAGCAAATAAAAGTTCCTTTGGTTTGCCATTTGAAATTATTCTTCTAGCCTTTTCCTTCGTACTGCTGCAGTTTGGAACTCCTTGCCTGAATCGTGTTTTCCACCAACTTATCATCCCTGTTATCTTCTCTCTCCGTAAGTTTTTCTTTTCTCTATGCACTTTTCTTTGTAGCCTGCACCTTGAGTGGCCTTCTGGCTTTGTGATGGACCATTCCCATAAAAAAAAATTAAAATCCACTTGTCCAATTTTCTAATTCATAGGTATTAGAATTCCTCAAACATTGTATATCGAGACCATTATTCCCCTTTAATTGGAAGGTAGTAAGGGGATATACCCATCCCATATACTTCAGTTGGCAATGATCAACTATCTACTCAAAGCTCTGGAAGACAAATTGTTTCCTCAGCATCCAATGTCTTGGGGCAATTTTTCAGTAAACACCGAGAGCCTAAACCCATTACCAGCCCTACTTTTGAAAATGGCAAGACAAAGACATCCATAAAGCCCCAAGAATTAGGTTTGTCAAAAGTATACATTTTTTTGGGGCCACGATGGTATTCTTTATAGCGAGATCCCGACTTTGATTAGGCGCGCACACACGCAGGCCCTTGTCGCCAAACGCCTTCAGGCCTTGCAAAATGATGACACCGATATCCCCAAGTGTTGACTCAACACGCTGAAGACGCCAGAAGAAATAAGTAGTGCGTATTATTTGACCGCGACACAACTCTTTCGACAGCCTAGGCCGACCCGCCAGCTCATTTACTTTCGCGCCAAATTTGCTCTGATAGCCAAACGCGCGGGGGAAAAATGTGTTGAGTGCTGATCTGGCGCTTATAGAAGAGTATACCTCTCACCAATGCTTCTCCTTTTTTTGAAACACGTGTGTATTTTTTTTTTTCAAGCTGCTTTTTCAGATGAGCAAGCAACTTGTACTTTGAGCAGTATGTAGACGATATTGTCGTAAACGTAAGCAGGTACGTGTTCATCTTTTCAAACCGTGGACGCAAAATACCAGAGAACAAAGGATAACAATATCGTCCACGATTCCCAGCATACGTCCGCGATTGGGGTCGTGTACAAAACCAAAAAAGAGGGACAATAGGACGTCCACGATCGACGGTGAACACACGTTTGTCTGTTCGCGTGAATTTGACCCTCGATGTAGCCCCAGGCATATATGATGACTGCTTTATGTTGAAGTTCCGACACCCCTACGTTCCGACAATTAACCCGCACATAAGATTGTGTTATTCCCGGGTTTAAGGTAAGTGTTAGGGATAGGAATATGTGCAGTCGGGACATATATGGTGTCAGAGGGGTGTCAGAACATAGGGGTATCGGAACATAGGTGTGTAACCGGCCTGCATTATAAAACTTGGATTTATAATCTCTGCTTAAAATTAACGAACATAATAGTTAAAGGGAAAATACAACATTTGCGAACATCAAAAAGTAAAACTACCTAATCATTTTGAAATACCTTGCTGGACTGTTAGTGAATGACAGTGTAAAGCATCCTGTAAAATCATGGCACCTGGTATACTGTCATTTTCAAGAAAAGTGGTATTTTTGTATCAATTTCCAACGCTGATCGGCCGATCAGCGTTGGAAAAAAACTGGCTTTTTTCAAATACTGGCCCCAATTGACCATCGCACTTGTTTGCAATCGATTACACACCTATGAACGGGTACAAGCCAGCTAGACTGGTTCCCTGACCTTACAATTCCCCAATGTATGTAAATTGCTCTGTTTCTTCTTATATGGAGTCAGGGAACCAGTCTACAGGAAAATGATTGTTTTTCTTGGTTTTTATAGCATTTTCGAACCCAAAACCTCAAAAAAGTCAGTGTAACTATATTTGCTATATATTTCCAACCCCCCACTTCCATCCATTTCTGAAAATTACAGCAAAAGCAAATGATGTATATTCCCTTTAAGATCGTCTCATCATCGCTGGGCGCATATCGGAATAGGTTTCACATTTTAGCCAAAATTGGTAATACCAACTGAGAAACGGTTGCTATTAAAACTCGTATATATCTAATGCGGCTAAATTTACTTCCGATACTTACAAAAAAAGTATAACCACTGAAAAATGAATGAAACTTCATGGTTTCAAACCTTCGATGTAAGTACCACTTAGTGATCATTCTTTTCTTGCCAATACTGGAAGAGAGAATCCACGACAAAACTTGCAGAGAAAAAAAGGTCAAAATAAAGCAAAACAATGAGTGAAAAGGAAAGGAAAAACCACTTCGCCCCAGCTCGCCCACTTTCTGTCTAACTGTCTGGTTACATTTTATGGTTGGAAATTGAAGAACAAAATAGCAAATTATTCTCTTCATTTGACTGGCGGCGTGGTGGAATCAATGATAGTTAAGCAAATGAGGCAAGTGTTCCCTCATTATTGCCACGGGGGTTGTATGAAATCAATACCATCGAGTATGCCCAGGTTGCGTTGAACGCCACTGACCTCGCGTTTCGCATACCCTTTTGCATCACTCTAGCCTTTAGTCAAGTCCCACGCGCCTATACCCGGACCATCCGGACACGTAACGCACCCCGAATGCTGGCACGTAAAAACACTAGCACGAGCGGCGAAGCCGCGAGGGCCTTTACTATCTCGTGGAACTAATCACTCATTCATTTATTCACGTAATATAAATCGAGGAATATAAATTACTCATCTAACGGTGGTTTGCGGATACCAGCAACAGCAAGCGCGCCACGGCGCACGTGCTGTCTGGCGCCAGACGATGGCTGATTTACGTTAGTAATTCTGCATTTTCATTGGTCAATTCACAACGGGGAATGCATTATGCATGTCTACCAAATCGGTAGACAAATGTAAAGAAAAACATAAGCGTTCTCCACGA